CTGCACCTTGTTGTCTCGGATTCTCCAGCATCTGCAGTTCCTACTATCCCAGGAGAATTGTTGTTACAATTGATTACAGAATCACAGAATGGTTACAGCACAGAAGAAGACTATTCAGTTAATCATGTTTGCACTGGCTCTCTAAAGAAACAAGTCAATGAATGCCACACATGCACACCCCTTCACCTTCCCACCTCCCCTCCCCCACTCCCCCACCCCCGTATCCCTGTACATTCTCCCTTTTCCAGATCATAGTCCAACTCCCTCTTGAATTGAATCTCTCAATTGAATCTGCCTCCATCACCTCTCTGGCAGTATATTCCAGATGCTAAACACTCGTTGGGATGAAAATGTTTTTCCTCATGTTATCTTTTCTGTTTTTGCCAATTACCTTAAATCTGTGATCTCTGGACCTTGGCTCTCTAGCAATGCGAATAATTTTCCCGTCTACTCTGTCCAGAGCCCTCTTCTCAACTTTGTCTTCTCAAAGGAGAACACCAAATATTTCCAGCCTATCCATGTTACTGAAGTTCCAGTCTCATGAAACTTTCCCACATCTTCTCTCCCAGCTTAAGACCTTTCCTAAGGCATGGTGCACAATATTGGATGCAAAACTCCAATTGAGGCTGAACTGATGTTTTATACAATGTTAAAACAATGTCTTTACTTTTGTACTCAATTTCCTTATTAATAATGTGTAGGATATTGTATGTTTTATTAACGTCTCTCCAACATATCTTGTCACCTTTAATGATTTATGCATTTATAATTCCAGAACCCTCTGCCCCTGCACCCCTTTTAGAATTATGCCTTTTATTTTATCATTGCTTGGCATTTTTCCTTTCAAAACAAATCAATTGACAGCGTTAATTTCATCTGCTACTTGTCCACCCACTCTATCAGTCTGCCTGTGGCCTTTTGCAGATCCCCACCAACCTCCTCACAATTTGCAATTCATCACATCCGAAAGACAGTGTTCTTTTTGACAACATTGAAACACCAACCTAGATCTCACACAAAAGTTTAACAAGGGGATTGTCACAGCTTTCTGATACGAAGGCAATTTTTTTTTTAACACAAAGGGTTCGCGCGTGGAATGAACTTCCTGTGGAAGTGGTGGATGTGGGTACAATTACAATGTTTAAAAGACATTTGGATAAGTACACGAATAGGAAAGGTTTGCAGGGATACGGGCCTGGAGCAGGAAGGTGGGACTAGTTTAGTTCGGGATCACGTTCAGCATGGAGTGGTTGGACCGGAGGGTTTGTTTGCATGCTGCATGGCTCTATGACAAAGGCTGGAATTTTACTGCCCAGGCTACAGCTGGCATTTTGAGTCATCTGACATAACCGACCAAAGTCCATGTCCCCTTCGTATTTGGTGAGTTTTTCAAGCGCTATGAACCATGTTAGCATTGGACATTGTATGTACCTTAAGGAGATTAACTATTTTCAAAGCAGTGGTGTTACTTATGTTGTTGGCATCAGAATAATTACAAATGCATTTGACAAATTGTTCTAAGTGATGCTGTCTATTGAGCAATTAATCTATGTGACAGCTTTTACTTTCCACTTGTCTCAACAGAGCGGGTGAATTAGTGTGCTCATACAGTGATACTTGTGCCTCTCTAATGTTTCCCACTCCTCCATTTCGCTAGCTTTTATAGCAGTCCTG